AATGCTCGAAACACACAAACACAAGGAAAATAGTGTAAGGTGAAAAACACATTATGTGTACTGGTTTGACCAATCTTTGTGCCTGCATCCCATCCTCAAACAAGTGTGTTCGAAATCTCCACTAACTTAACCTCCAAACTTAACGGTGTTTGGAAAATCTTACAACACGAGAACTTGAGTTCATAAGCCTCTCATCTTCAACATAATGCAAGTCTAAGCTTCGCTTTGAGGTCTGCCCTAGTTCTATCAAAACCAAAACGATTTCTTTACTCCATATTCATGCTACGGGATACAAACACTTTTTCCGGGAGAGACACTACTTTGTTTTCAACCTCATTACTCAACAACTAGGAACTATGCAAATAAAATTTGCCGATCATGTGTGTGGCTTGTTCTTTACTGAGGCAAGAAATGAATGCAATTATCTATGCGTACATTGCACTTATGAGGAGGAATGTTGGTTTTATGTGTGCAATTTAGATTCCTCCTCTGATGTGGAAATTGCACGTAGCCCTTTTTTTATGGGTCCTTCTCAATGAGAAGAAGCACTGTGGTCCTAAATCGAGCTGTGTATTTGATAGTGGGTCATATTGAGATAGACATAAATCCTTGCATGCATGCAATACTCGTGTTTGAGATGGATTTTGGAGAGTTCTATACTGTGCCTCATCTAGAATTTGAATGCCCCGACACAAGACTTCACCATTTCGACCTGTATTTGTATGCTCGTGATGGCCATTTGTCTCTGTCGTACTGACAGGGAACTGGGCTATAGTATTTATGGATTTTGGAAGACTATGAAAACAGACATTGGGTCCTACTGTCTTTTACATAATAATTTTTCAAACGATCACCACTAAATAGAAAAGGACCCCCCCTTCTCTTTTAGAATAAAAAAATAAGGAAAGCTTAGTAGAAAAGCTCTCATTTAGAGTGGATTTCTGAGATATCAATGAACTTGTGAAATATTGCAATGACTTTGGCTTTCTTAAGTCAAGCAAAAAGGTATATATGGCAATAAAGATCAATTACTTGGATAAAGAATATGAACACTTTGAATAACAAGGGAGATTGCAAAGATGAATAAAAATGCTTATTATCATATTGGGGTGAAAGCTAAGGATTTTGATACAGGCAGCACATTTAAGAAAGTAGTTGTGGTAGTAGAAATTACGTATTATTCAAATACTAACCTTAAGTATACGAAGGTCAAAGTGGTTTTGAGAAAACTTGGTTTTTAGAGAAATCCTAAGAGCAACTTCAAGGGTAGTCTATATTGTAAAATATACACTATATACAATTTAATGTTACCTTATCAACACTCCAATGAATATGGTAAACCAATTGGTAAAATGCAATGTAGTGTAAAAAGCAATCTTCAAAGTGTATTTTTACAAGTTCACTATGGATAGTGGAAAGAATAAAAAATTAATTTTCTTCATTTTTTTCCTTCCCTCTTCTCCGTCTTCATATGTATAAGGTATTTACTACGTCTTTTTTTAAAAATCATTAAAAATAAGTAACTTAAAACAAAAAATATTATAAAAAGTATATTATATAGAAAATATGGTTGGAGTAAATGTAAAACACTAATGATAGTGTAAAATAAAGTTTAAACTACCAATTTTTACACTACACGTTGGAGATGCTCTAAGTAGGTCGAATTTGATTGTCAAAAATCAAATTGAAGAATACTTGGTAATTGTTTAAGATAAGAGGTTTCAAATATCCTATTTATTTGAAATGGTCAAAATTTTTATCTTGCCCCAACTTTTGAATTTTGATGTGAAACGATTTGAGTGAATATCTAGATGCGCCAAACTAAGAGGACTATTTGGGGAATTTGATCTCACAATAGTGGACGTCAATAGAGATTATTTTTTTTTTAAAAGAAAAAGTCAATAGAGATTCTTGATTGAACGAGAATGATATTTTATGAAAGAAATAAAAATGCATATATATATACACACACACATATTTTTATTTCAGTGAGATGACGCTAAGCTCACCACACTACACTACAAAGTTCACTAATAGACAAAACTCACTTAGAAATAAAGCAAAATTTACTACTTTGAACACCAAAACTCACTTTTTTAAAAAATTTGAAAATTAAAAAATTAATAAAAATAAAATAGCAACACCGGTCAACGGCGGCAGAGCAACAGCGGCTGCCGGTGACCGGCGGTGGCAGGCGGTGGTCAATGGTCGCGGTCAGCGGTCAAAATCTAATCAGCACCCCTTCCTTTGATATTATTTTTCAAAAAAAATTCAAGTGTTGAAAAAATATGGTGAGCTTTGCCTTACAGTTTGGTGAGCTTTGTAGTTGTCTTTGGTGAGCTTTGCAGTGACTAATGGTGAGCTTTGCATCATCTGACTGTAGCATGTCATCTCACCTTAGAGTGCCATCTGACTGTAGTCAATCCCATAAGAATGAAATAAGAATGAATCTGGTGCATTAGATTGGGAGATCTAAGGGTTAGGATTGCATCAAAATTAGGTGCACCAAGATGGTTTGAAAATGCATCATGTCGAAATGCACCATAATCTTTTGAAAATGCACTATCTCAAAATTTGAGTGCAGAATGCAATCTGAGCCGCACGATGCATCAGATCCAAAGGCCAGATTTTATTCTTATTTCTCTCACCAAGGTGCATTCTCACTTGAACCAGCCCCTATATATACATACATACATATATATATATATATATATATATATATATATATATATATATATATATATATATATATATATATGGGATTGACTCCAGTCAAATGACACTTTACGGTGAGATGACATGCTACGGTCAGATGACGCAAAGCTCACAACTAGTCACTGTAAAGCTCACCAAGTACAACTACAAAGCTCACCAAACTGTAAGGCAAAACTCACCATATTTTTTCAAGACTTTAATTTTTTTTGAAAAAATAATCAAAAGGAGTGGTGTTGACTAGACTTTGACCATTGACCGTTGACCATCACCGGCAACCCCTGCCGCCGCTGACCACTGCCGGCCGCCGCCGCCGGTCTCCGCCGCGCCACCGCTGCTGACCGGTGTTGTAATTTTATTTTTTATTAATTTTTTAATTTTCAAAATTAAAAAAAGGTGAGTTTTGGTGTTCAAAGTGGTGAGCTTTGCTTTATTTACAAGTGAGCTTTACATTGGCTATTAGTGAGCTTTGTAGTGTAATGTGGTGAGCTTTGTGTCATCTCACCGAAGCATGTTATCTCACCGTAAGATGTCATCTCACTGGAGTCAATTCCTATTATATACATACATACACACTCACACACACACACACATATAATTTGGTTCAAGTGAGAATGTGATCTTATGAAAGAAATAAGAATGAATCTGGTGCTTTAGATCGTGAAATCTAAGGGTCTGGATTGCATCAAAATTAGGTGCACCAAAATGGTTTGAAAATGCATCATGTCGAAAATACAGCAAAAACCTTTGAAAATGCACTATCTCAAAATAGGAGCGTAGGATGCATCAGATCCAAATGCTAGATTTTATTCTTATTTCTTTCACCAAGGTGCATTCTCACCTGATCTAGCCCACACACACACACACACACACACATATATATATATATTATATTATATGATGGGTATATCCCTATACCCGGCCCGGACAACCGAAAGGGACAGGTCAAAATATGACCGGTCACTTTCATCAGTCACCAAATGAGGTTAACTATTCGATTGAGACGGGTCAAAAATTGACCAAAAAAGTGACCGGTCACATTTTGGGCGAAAGCCAAAATATCACCTTATATTACAAAGGATCTTCCGGAAGACCAAAGAGACGGGTCATATCATCTTACTTGGCAAACATTGGTCTAGACTCGCATGCATGGTGAACCACGTCAAAAACCGAGGGACCACCCCGCCGCTCATCCATCACGAGGCATACAGTGAAAGGGATATTTGTCACCTTGCAGGGTTGATTGGATTGAGAATATCCATTTATAGTCTTTGATTGAACAGTGTCTTGGCTTGTAGCTATTGAAATCAATGATTGTACAGTGTTTCCATTAACTACAGTGACCTTCCCACGAGCTTCATATTTTGTCCTTGGATGAACAGGGAAAGATCACAAATCCTCCTCTATAAATATGATGATATTTGATAGAGGGGATCTATTCTTTATCTCACTAAAACTAGTACACTCTTGAGACAGAGTAAGAAATATATTTCGGAGTGAGGAGATTTACCCGGTCTAGGTCATACTTTGTGTTCTTATTGTGTGTTTTATATTACGGGTCGAGTGTGTCTAGGTCATATTCGGTCAACCCGCCCATCTATATTTACACCATCAATATATATATATATATATATATATATATATATATATATATATATATATATATATATATATATATATATATATATATATATATATATATATATATATTATATGTATATATATATATACATATATATACATACATATATTTACTTGTTAACATTTTCGTTAAAAACAGGGATAAAATTGTAAATTCACAGTCTTCTCTCACCTCAATTAAGCTTCCTTCCTCTTCTCACACTTCTTTCCCAAACCCGTAACTGAGTTTGAAACTTTGAACCCAAAACTGAAATCATCACTCTTCTCTCAATTCTTTGTTTTCCTGGCGGAACCCAAAATCGAAACTTGTATCCTTCACGAATGAGTTTTTAGATTTGTTTTCTTTGTAGTTTCCAGAGACTAAATCATAAAAATCATCCATGAAGGTTATTGGTTTTGATTTTGGATTACACCAGGAATATGAACAATTGAGAAATGAGTGATCGTTTCAGTCTTGGGTTTAGAACTTCAAACTCATCAACGGGTTTGAGAAGGAGGGATGAAGCTTAATTGAGGAGGGAAAGAAGTGTGAATATACCCCTTTGTCCATGTTCTTAAACAAAGGACCATTTGTAGAAAACAATATAATAATTGGGAACTAAATTACTGATATTTGATATGTAGAGACTAAATAAGTAAAACGACATATAACTGAAGACTTTTTATGGAATTTATTCTATATGGAACTATTTCCATATCCTCCATTAATGATCTCAACTGAATTCTCACACCATTAAACGGTCATAATAAATACCGCTGCAAAATGTTGAATCCACAAATCCAGTTTTTCACTGCTGCATTATATAAAGGCTCAGACAGAACAGATTTGAATTGAAGGAAAACAATTACCACCTGAGAATCCACAGGTGATCAGATTTATATTGGAGGAAAAGAATTAAAGATCAAAGTGACACGCAAGGCGTCACATTTACGCGTTAAGCACGTGTAGCATTATAGCATTTTGAGCATGCATGCGATTCTCTGCTTGCGGGAAAACGATTGAATTGGGGGCTTCGATAACTCCATCAGTCACTTCGACGCCTCTCTCGGCTGGTAAACAGTGCATGAAGTAGGCCTTTGGTCCCGCTAATGTCATGAGCTCCTCGTCAATCTGATGATGGCAAGTACAAAAAAAAGTGTAATTAATCACAAAATGTTGAATCTCTCATTCACATGACTTTAGTTGCCACGATAGCCAAAGACCTTGTGCTCGAACGACATAACAGAGGTTCTTCCAAATGGGAGGTCACATGTTCAAACACTAGTGGGGGATTGACTAATTGTGCTTCAGTACGTTGAAAACATATTGATGGAATAATACCCCCCGGGCCTGTAAGATATTGGGCCCGATCCATGGGAGAAGCTCATTGGGAAAACCCTAAGCTCTTATTCCACTATAAAAGAGGGGTGACACCCAAGGAGAGCCTCAATCTATGATCTACACACTACATCTCTCTCATATTCATCATCTTCCCTATAGAGCTTCAAGCTCCATCAATGGCTATCACGCCCAAATACGGTATAATACACCCCCGATCAGTAATAATACACCACCCCCTTTGGCATGGAACCGCCTAAAAAGGCCACTAGTTTTCTCTTGATTTGGGTTTCCACTTTCCAAGTAAACATCGAGTTCATATTTATTATAGTTACAGTATTATGATTCGATATTATTTTGTATGTATTTTACATACCACAGTGGATTAAATTCCATCACATATGTATGGACTGATGGACATATACTACATTATTAATAGAGTTAATAGTGTTTAAGAAAAGTTGCAAGGATAAGCTCCATGTGTGTGTATGTATGCCATAAATTACTGCTAAGTCAAGCAAGACAATACACAGGAATACATTGTATGTCAATGAAGTTCACCTGAAACCCTTGGAAAACTTTTCTGCGATATTCAGCTTCTTCCTTCTGTCCCATACTGGCCCAAACATCAGAGTATACGACATTGGCCCCAACCACAGCTTCTTTTGGATTGTTTGTGATCTCTATTTTGCTGATACCAGCCCGTTGTGCCTTTTTAACTGTTTTCTGATCCGGCTCAAAACCCTTGGGGCATGCACAGACAAAATGGAAAGGAATAACAGCTGCCAACAGCAACCAAGAATGCACAATGTTGTTTCCATCTCCAACATAGACCACCTGGACAATTGCATTTGTGACATTAGATTGTATTGAATATGACGTTAAAGACTAGGATGAGTTAAGACCTCAATCAAGTAGGATGCAATCCATTATATACTCTTAAATTGTGTATCTAGAAGCCAGACTTATAGAAAAGAATGGCAGTGTGGAGCTTGGGAAAGAAACTGGATCAGAAACACTGGGTGGTAACAGAGTAGGTATAATCTGACCTTTGTTCCTTCCAAGTGACCAATGTGTTCAATGATGGTAAGTGCATCAGCCATGATTTGGCATGGGTGGTTGTAATCTGTTAATCCATTGACAACAGGAACAGTGGCATACTTGGCTAGGTCAAGGATATCCTGAAAACAAATAAACAAGTACCATCAATTCAACAATCAAGCCACAACCATCCGCTGAGCATCAACTAATGGTAATGAATGCGACTAATGCATTATAAAAAATGAAAAGGATGGGACTAATGCTTCAACCATCACAAGAAAACCATAATAAAACTCACCGGCATACCTGATGACCAAACACACGTGCCATAATGATGTCATTATAGCGAGAGAGTACACGAGCAACATCTCGAGTTTCCTCACGCTTACCCATCTGTATGTCGTCAGGTCCCAAGTATATAGCATGGCCGCCTAACAAGAAAAATCCAGTCTCAAAAGATACTCGCGTTCTCATGGATGGCTTTGCAAAAATCATTGCCATACTCTTCCCTTTGAATGGCTGAAATGACCTGTCTCCTGATTTAAGCAAAGCCTTAACCTCTTGTGCACGGTCTAAGATCTTCAAAATTGTAGCCTTATCATAATCGGTAATGTGCAGAAAATCCTTCTTATCTGATTTCACTGCTAGTCAAAGTACACATAAGAATATCAATGGATGAACTTAAGCAACGATTAGAAATATTGCTATTGTCGGAGGTAGCAAAACTACAACAAATTTGGAAAGGGGCTAAAACTGCATTTCTCCTTGTTTCATGGGGGTAACCTATGTTTCCATCCAATGAATTCAGATAATCTTAAAAACAAAATATAGAGTATGCATTGAAACTTAAAATCTACATAAATATTAGTGGATATTATGAATATTGATGTTGGTGAAAAATCAAAAGAACAGTGAAAGTATTAAAAACAAAAACAACAACAACAACATCAACAACAATAATAATGTATCAATAATATTGAAAAAATCAAAATTCAAATATCTATAATATTAAGCAATATCGAGATGTTATCTGTGGTATCACTAGCATCATAGATATTAAGAGAAGAGAAGATTTCCATGTTTTAAATGTTTACAGACACCCGTATTGACATATCCATCGATATTGCAGTAAGTGCCGACATATTATTCCAAGTGACTCGCACTATTAAAAAATTATAATATTTCACGCAATAAAAAGTACAACTTTCAGTCAAATTATTAAAACCAAATCCCAGGCCATTTCTGATTAACCAAATAACAATACTACACCAAAATCTGTTAGAGAAATATAGATAGCAGAAATCAAACCCTATCTAGCAAGGAGCAAAAAATGATATGTTAAACGTGTAGATAAATTCTGGAATCCTTTTTTTAAAAAATGACAATACAAACCCTAGAATAAAAAAGGAAATACCTTGGCTGGTGATGGTCCGGCGAAGGGCGGTTGGAACAGCAGAGATGTAGAGGGAGCGGCGGAGAGCGGGGCCGGAGAGAGAGGATCGAGAGGAGAGAGATGTAGTATCGAGATGGAGTAAAGTTGAAGAAGAGTAAGGAGTGAAGGCCGCCATTGTTGTTGAGCTGGAGCCGAGCTTGAGCTTGAGCTTAAGGATTGGGACTTCTGAGGGAATCGGAGGTAATAAAATCAGGGTATGATTTAGCTAGGATAATGCTATTTGTACCAATATATTGTATGCTAATTTTTGTTAGAAAAATGCGAGGGTACACTAAAGAAGGTGTACCCCATATGTCTCACACCCCCTCCTTGTCCACTAAAAAAGGCAAAAAAGTTTTAAAAAAATAAGTAAATAAAAGAGACTGTTTGGCAGTGTGTTACTTTTAATCATTTAGCTTCTGCTTTGAATAGAAGTGATTTTACTCTGTTTGGTATGTCAGCTTCTGCTTTTCACAACCACTATTTTGTACATAGAACACCGTTTCGGAGAAGCAAATAGGAGATGCTTCTGCTTTCAGCTTTTGTGGAAATCACTTTATCCACAAGTTAATCACTTCCAAACACCCTCAAAATCAAATAAAAATGCGTGGTGGAGAAGAGGTGGTGTACATTTGGGGTACACCAAGGTACACCTTTTGGTGTACCCCTAGCATTGCTCTTTTTGTTAATGCATCAACATTTTGTATCCGTATAAATTTTTGTTAACGCACCAATACTTTGTATCAATGTGAACTATCAAAATAGTGTGCATACCTTTGGTATACAAATGTGATACAAATTTTGGAGTACATGTAGCATGCTCCTTCTGGTTATGAGGGTGAATTTTGGGTGTAATTTTAAACCAGAAAACCTAACTTTACTTAGGGGTGGGGAAACCGGTCTTGGAACAATGGGTCGGAATCGAGCCGCACGGTTTGGAGCGAGTTAGGGCCGAATTGAAAATTTAATCTTTGAAAATGGGTCGGTCCAGGACGGGTCCTTAAGCAAAATAAGTCAGGCCGATTTCTAATATTTAGAAACAAAAAGATCTGAACTGATCCGTTTTCTATAATTTAATAAAATTATAAATATACAAAGTTATAAATAAATTAAGTGAAATTTGCACTAAGTAGGACTAAAACATAAGTCATTTCCTAATATAAGACTTAAACTTTTTTATTCCCTAAATAGGACTTAATAATGTCTAGTGAGAAAAATAATGCCGAAGGGATGCTGGACATTTAGTTGAATAATGACTAATAAAAACATATGGTCATATATTAAGAAAGTTATTATGTTTTAGTTTTATTTAAGTAAATTACCCATAAATTAAAGTATACTCAATAATGCATTTTAGACTTTCTATCAAATTGTAGTAATAAATAAATTCTATATAGTATATTCAACACATTCTATTAATAAAAACTATACTCCGTGTGTGTGTGTGTGTATTTTTCAAAAGTAAGTTTTATTGAAGAAGAAAGAGAGTTGATACATGGGGGCATGGCCGTAAAAAAGAAAAATCAAACAACACTTTTAAATAAAACTCTACGACCATTGCGCCAAAAAGAATCAATCCCCAAGCCATTGAAATCTTCATCCTTGATCATCCACTTTTTGTTCCTATTTATCCATGCCCACGCATGGATATATATATATATATATATATATATATATATATATATATATATATATATATATATATATATATATATATATATATATATATATATATATATATATATATATATATATATATACCTCAAGGCTACTGGGCAAGAGATCAACCTTAACAAGAGTAGATTCTACACATCAAAGCACACAACCAGCTCCCAAAATCAACATATGGAGAAGGCTCTAGGAATCAAAAGAGGGAACCTACCTTTTACCTATTTGGGAGCTCCTATCTGTAAAGGGATTCTCAGAAAAGAGCACTGCAAAGATATCTTGGGACATTTTGAAAAACTTATTTACTCTTGGTACAACAAGACTCTCAACCAGATGGGTAGACTTATACTAATAAAACATGTTATATCTTCAATCCCATTACATACCCTTGCTGTCCACACCATTCCCAAATCAATCATCCACACCCTCAACAGATACATGGCCAACTTTTTGTGGGGACAAAAGGAAGGATCCCATAAACACCACTGGGTTAGATGGGCACAAATAACAAAACCTGAGGTAGAGGGAGGGCTGGGGATCAAAAGCTTAAAGGACCTACAACAAGCATACACCCTTAAACTTTGGTGGAAGGCAAGAAATGACATTGGGATATGGGGGCCCTATGTGAGAGCCAGGTATATGAAAACAGGAATCAT